GCATAAACTCGTCATGGGTTCATCTGTTATATGTTGGCTTGCTTAAGTCAGAAGCAGAATTGAAATAGACTATTGCGACAGAATGGAAACATTAGGTGCTATTTTCTATCCAAGCTAAGTCTGTGTAAAGAAAATAAGTGGAAGAACGTAGTATGTTCATTTGTCTGAACTGAGTCAAAGTTATAATAGGCAGATGAAAAATGACACTGATACCCTAAATACACACGCTCTGGTTTGTTTTGTGAATAAGCATCTATACATGCAAAAAGACCTTCTAGTGATTTTTGTAGTTGTAAGCTCCCTGTTTCAAACTTTATTTTTCTCCTTTAATATACTTTTAATGTTCCAATATTGATAGGATTGAATTCTGTATTTTGTCATGCCATTTTGATCAGATATAAGAAGGCACTTGCTTAAATTAATGTAAGTATCTACTTGCATTATTTTTCAAGGACTGTGGCATAAATAACTTTATATGAGCCAGATTAAGTAGTTTCTTCATTGATGTATGTAATATTTTTTTTATTGCTGCTAAGTCTCTGAATCATTCCGCCTTAATGCAGATGGACTTTTTCCATGGTAAATGTTCTGAGCAATGAGTAAACTGCTGCATAGCATAAAGAATGTGAAATCCAAGAAACCATATCAACCTTTTACAAATTCATTCAGCTTAATTTATTAAAATAATTCTGTCCATATCTTTGTTAATCTGTCTCAATAAATTATCACAGCATTTACTTTTCTTTAGTGCCTGAAAAATATTTTGTTTTCCCTTCAGTTTAAACATGTAAACATAACACAGAAAACACTAAATATAGTTGCGCTCTTCATTTCTCGGACAAGAAAAGTTAAGATTATATGATAACATAAAGGAGAGGGCTGTCAGCCCTATTTGTTCTGCATTTGTATACATTTCTTTGAAGCCTTGACAGTTTGGTATTTAGATATTTATGCAGAAGCACAAAACACGTATTGTGAAAAGACTGATTTATTTTTAATTGTTAAAAAAAAAAAAAATCTTTGTGAAAGTGACATCAACTAAAATCTTTTTTTCTTGAGATCCTGGACCTTATATACTTCATAATACCAGAGGCCTTGAACATAGATTCTTCTGTCTTAATGCAGCTCACAAAGCAATGAGCTGTGAAAAATTAGGATCACAATGTCATGATCATAAAAATGTTTATAATCTGTGCATAAGGGTATTTGAATGAATTCAATTAGGGTCACAACTCTGTGCTTTCCTGAATTTCATGAACCTTTCTGAGATACAGACTGTAGATATCACTGATTTTATATGAACCTTTCAATCAGGAGGAAAAATCTAAAATATACTTTCCAGTGGCATCCTTCTGTTGGTGGGAAAAGTGAAAGAAGGGGAGAAAGAATGAAGGGGAATAGAGAGTCGCAGGAGCAAAAAAAAAAAAAAAAATTAATAGTAGAGAAAATGAAGCAAAATTAAGGAAAGAAATGAGAGGGGTCATAAATGTGAATTGGTGTTCATGGTGAAAGGGGACTCTTCAAATGTAAAAGAATGTGTGAATACAGACACAAGGAAAGAAAAATGAGAAACACAAAGAAGTGAATCCCCTCTGTAGGGTTTAGCCTTACTCAAAGAGAGAATGGTTTGGAAAATAATATGTAGAAATAGTACAAAAATGCTCCGCTTGTAGTGAGAAATTTAAGTCCATTTTATGTTATCAGTGGAATATGAACCAGTACTATCTATCAGCTATAAAGCCACCTTCTTCTTCTTCATATTTAAGTCAAAGTGTTGCTGACGATCTTTAAGTTCTCAATGGTTTGGAACCATGAGTGTATGGAAAGTTTTTGCTGAGAGTTTCTGGGACTGAATTTTCCAGAATTTGTTATAGGGTTCTGAGAGGTGGGCGGGACGGGACATTTTTCATCGTTAAGTTTCGTTTGTCCTTTTCTCCCATGCCAGGCACAATGGTTTGATTTAGCTGTTTGATTTGTTTCTCCTTCTCACAACATAATTCACATTACTTGACTGACAGCAGTGGTTTGGAAAAATGTGGTAATTTCGTTTAGTGATATAAAACGTTGAAAAAAAGGTCTAAATGCAGTAGTTATTCAGGAAATATTTTAAAACTAGTTAAATTTTCTCACACTACCAGATTTCTTTCCTGTGGTCAAGTGATCAACGTCACAGTTATGGCTGAATAACTTTGAACTCCTTTTCACCTCTCCCTTCCCCTTCTGTTCCCCTCTTCCTTCATTCTGATTGGCTAGCAGTTCAGACCCAAAAGAATTACAGAGATTCATGTCTTGGTTTTCATTTATATGTATGTAAGTATTTCCTAGTTTTACACTGTGTAGTTTCACAGATAAATTCCTTTGTGGCATCATGCACAGTCATTATGTGTGATTCCAGAAGGGTGCATGTGAGAGCTAGAGCTGCACAACACATTTTAGCACTTATAGTACAAGTTACAATTCCTGATGAAACTCCTTTCACATTTTTTAGATTTTATAGCCTATCACACAGTGGTATCTGGTTGCTCTTTTGTCGATAAAAAATTATCTTTGTATGGAGCCTCATTTTTCCTTTTCTTTGCTGTGCCTTTTCTTACTTACCATGTGTATGTTTTGTTGATTTTACTCTATTCCTTGTGATCTGATTTAGGGTCAGGAAAATTCTCCTGTTGCTTGCATACCATTTTAGATAACTGTTGCTTTATTTGTTCATTCTCGGTCTTGGGATAGTGTGTAACACAAAAATCAGATTCAATGATGGTTTGGCTATTCAACAATTGAAATGATATCCATGAATTACCAGGCATGTTCTCAGAAATGTGTGCATGCAAAAGCTAACATTATAGGAATATAGAGCAGCAATCTGACAGAAAAATTCATATAATGCAGTGTGAACTAGAATCAAGAGAGCTGATACAACTTTGTGTCATATTATCAGTATAAGGATTTGTTATAAATACTGAAAAGGAAGAAAAATATATTTAGTTGCAATTTCCATTTTGAAGTTTGCAAGGCATTAAAATATTCATGTTTCCAAGGTTAAAGCAAGAATGTTAGATAGCCATTGTAGGTTTTTGATTATTCTTTAGTATTATAACCAATCTCAGCTAGGAAATTAACTGATACTTAGTAAAACTGGAGTTTCATTTTACTGTTTAAGTACTCACAGCTGCACCAGGCATGCTTTTCAAAACAATTTATTCTGATTTTGATTCATAAATATGAAGAAAGAGAGAGGTGTGGGAAATGCAGAACTAGTTATTACCAGTACTGTAGTTCAATTTCCATGTCCAGTCCCACAGGAAAGACATTGATATGTGCATCTTTGTTTAAATTATTAATGCTGCTTGATTTGTTTGAATGTGTTGATTGTATTTGAGTTTATAGTAAAATTATCAAATCTAGTCTCCTTCCCCAAGCCAGCAGATAAGTATCAAAAGCAGCAACAGGAAATAAAGTAGATTTATTAATTGTAGTCAGTGAAAGATGTAGGTGCTAGCAAGGTCATTGATTACTAAATTTTATTAATATAATTATAACAGTTAACACTGTCAAGGATTTCAAACTTTGAACCTGACTTATTTTTCAACAATTTTTTATGACGTGGCATTATTTAAAAAAACAAAAAACAAAAAAAACAAAGGTATGAGCCTGAGAGAGTTGTAGGTGAGTCCAAAAAAAGAGGGTTGTTTACAGGTCTTTCTTGCAAAATGCTAACTTAAACCTATACTTTCTTTTAAATAGGTGGAGGCAGATACAGCTAATCTGAGTTCCAGGTTTCCTTCTCTTTGCTTGGCCCTGGCTCTCAGTTTTCTGATAATCATTAATTTAGGATTAATTATGCAGCCAAATCAAGGTTGTTTTATCCTTCTACATTGATGTTTTCCTGTTAATATTTAATTCACAGTCTGAGGGCCAATAACCTCTGCAAAGAAAGATTGTAATACATTTGTAAGCCTCCCAATGTGAAAGAAGAGGAGCTCAAAAATTACCTTCTTTTGAATATTCTATACTGTAAATAAAAAACAAACCTTGTTTGAACAGGAAGAATTATTAAACTTTGGAACAACTTGTCTGCAGGCATAGTGGATCTTCCATCATATGTTATATTTAAATCAAGACTGAAAGACTTTCTAGACCAAATGTTCTAGCTCAAACAGAACTTACATGCCTGATGCAGGAATTACTAGGTGAGGTACACCAGCCTTGCCTATCCTAGCTAACAGCCATCGATGGACCTATCCTCCATGAACTTACCTAGTTCTTTTTTGAACCCCATTAATCTTGGCCTTCACACCATCCTCTGCAGAGTTCCAGAGTAGCTGTTCTACAGTACAAATGTTTTAAAAGTCCTCAGATATTACAAAAAAAATTGTGGAGTTGAAGTTGATCTATCATGGAAATACAGAGGGGTTTGGTTTTTTTTTTTTTTCAAATAAAGCATGGTTAGGTAAATAAAAGGAATGCCAAATATATGATAAATAAGCATGTTTTAGCCTACACTAAGTATTCAGAATGGCTGAGCTGAAAGGTCAGTGTTTTGATGGAATATGGTGAAATTTCTTGGGGGGTTATAGTACTGATGTCTCAAATATGTGGCACTATCCACAGTGTGAATTTCTATTATTTCTGTAGGTTCATGACCTGTCTCTTGTGTAGGTTCATGACCTGTCTCTTGTTTGCATAGGCCAAAATACGTACTGTATTTATCCAGAAACATACCCTATTATCTCAGTCGGTGAAATGTAACCATTAACTTTTCATGAAACACTGTACAGATACTGACATTTTGTGGTTTGATGCATTAAAGACAGACAAAAGAAAAAGAAGTCAGAATTATTCCATTTCACCTACAATAAAGAAACCTAACTCTATTGTTTACAAGACTTAGTCCTAGGCAAAAATGATCTCATAACTAGTGGAATATTCTAAACATTTTAGGGGTATTGCTTATCAATTTTATTGTGTATTAGGTTTGTTAAAGCTTATCCTTTCAATTGTAGGAGGAAGAATTGGAGACTCAGATTTCATTTCTCCAAGGACAACTAAATGACCTAGAGGCCATGTGCAAATACTGTGCAAAAATGATGAACACACATCTTGGTAAGTGAAGTACCCAAGACAATTAATGGTAGTCTTGGTTTAAATTTTTTCCATGTTTGCATACCTGGAACTAAAGTAATAGTTTCTAACCGTCATATCTTTTTATTTTTTCTTAACTGTCGTCCTTTTAAATAAGGTCACTTTTAAGCCTATTGATTAAAGTAAGGATGAAAAGCAGACATATTGGGACAGATGGCCTTTTCTTGTTTTTGGATTTCTTGTATTCTAAAGGACACCACAAAACTCAGCTCAATTTACAAGTCGATGTACAGGTCAGCTGTTACACAGTAATCCATGGTACATTAAAAGTATGTTTGTAGAAAATCTATAAATTTTCATCAGCTGCAATGGAGTAGTAATTACTTTCATTACATAAAAAATTTTTGTCGCTCTACTTACTTCAGGCTGGTTTCTAGTCTCCTGCCACTCCTGGGTCTTACATTAGCAGCAAAAGACATGAATTAACAAAGGAGCCTAGTGTATTAGGAGAGGAATCAACAATGGAAGTTATTGGACTAACATATTACCAAGGCAAATTGAGGAATAAAACGTGCAAAGGTGCCCAAGATTAGTGCATATAGATGCAAGAAACATTGTTCTCCTAAAATTGTATTAATCCAAGCATCAAGACTTGCCCTATTCATCCATACATCAGTGTAAAAACTGGCAGTATTGCAGTTCTCCTTAAGCTCTTCCAGCTATATCCTTTTTGGTTGCAGTTAGGCCAGACAACCTTCACTTGGACCTTCAAGTTATCATCTCTGGCTCTGCTTTGCCTATGGTTTCCAGTCCATGATACCTGGTAATATTCCAGGTAACTTCTAAACAACGCTGCCCATCTTTTTGCTGCTCCAGACTATAGTCATAGAGAGCAAGGCTGCTTCTTGACACACACTCTGTTGGTCACATTGCTTAGTTCCAGTCCAGTAAACCTAAGTCTAGTGAGCCATATTTTTGACCACTCAAGATGCTGAATTTATATTAGGGCCTTTTTGGTGTATTTTGCCTTAAAGGCATGCTTCAATATTCTAAACATCTCGTTTTCTCCAAGTCAATTTTGGAGCAGTTAGTTTGTACTTTATAAGCTCTTCAAAGCTTTGGAGTTTGGTTCAATGTAACATGGCTTTGAGCATCAGTTCTTGATAGTTTTCTGGGTCTTTCTCTTGCTTCTTCCCCCCCCCCCTCCCCCCCCCCCCCCAATATGTAGTTCTTTTCTGAAAAACAGAGAGAAGTTGGAAGGATGGTCAGCTGCCTCTTGAAGTTTGGATGTAAGAGGAAGTTATGCTGCAGGAATTTAATCTGATATTTTAGGTCTATCTGAAAATGTCATTTGGACCCAACTGAACTTTGAGGGAGAACACCTGAAAAGCCAGCTACTGGAGCCATCCCATGGGATTCCAGTAAGCCCAGCTAGAACCCAGTCTTGAAAGATTTGTCCTCGAGTGAAAGTGTGAGCCATATCATTTAGTATTGATGCCAGTCAATGAAAATGGTCCCAGTTTCCATCTCTGCTCAGCAGTTTCTCCAGTTTTCTTGAAGAAATCTGTATTGTTGTCTTTGAAGCCAAATGTTCCAGTGCACACTAAGGCCTGGCTTACCTTTTTTCCTATGAGCTGGAGCTTAGTACCACCAACAGGGTATCATGCCCACAAAACTATTGAGCACAGGAGACAGCGACTAAGAACCAGGCAGTCATCACACCACTACCAAAGCCTGCAATTCAGGTTCTTCCAAGGTCCCACTGGCAGAACTTGGAGACTAGAGGTGCACATTTACAGTACTACTGTATTTCTTCTGGAACCTTGCTCAGCCAGCTGGAAAGAACACGTGTCATTTTTGGTTCATGATTCAACAAACCTGGCACCAATGCTAGTAGGAGACTTTGAAACTGAGGAAGCATAGATTGTCATTTATGACAGCTAGGCATACCAAGTGTTAAGTCTCTTGCCTTTATCTCTATTGGGATGGAATCTCATGATTCTTCCACTCTTAAACCAGGACCCTGTGTATACCCCAAACCCTTGTCATTCTGCAGATCCAAGTGGGTCCAGGCACCTTTTTAACCTCCGTTCTTGAACCTGTAATACTGACCACCCATCCCCCCTCATTTTTATTTGGTACTTGGAAGAAATTGTATGCATGTCTATCTTATTTAAAGTACTCACCATCCATAACGTTAAGCTGGGCAGGATTATCTTCTTCAGATACCCCTATGGGTGTCTGTGCCTGTCTCTTTTTGTCTGGTTCTCCTTCTGCTCTCCCAAGTATGTTCTTCTAAAACCCTTCAGCCTCCTTTGTTTTCTAAGAAGACCTCTGGTCAGATAAGTTCATAGGCTGTCCTGAGTGGTTATAGGAACAGTGTAATCAGATTTAATATTTCTGGGTTTATGCCTTAAAAACCCTCAAGAGGAAGCTGTTGTACAACTATCTTGAGACATCTCAGTTATGCCTGGCCTGTCCCAGTTAGCATCCTATTGGGAAGCAAATGTTTTAGAGGGGGAGCCGTGTTAGCCTATCAAAATAGAAAAAACTTAAAAAAAAAAACAAATAGTCCTGAGCAACTTAAAGACTAGCAAAGAAATGTAGATGGTGTCATGAGCTTCTGTGGGCACAACCCACTTCTTCAGAAGAATAGAGTTAAGGGGTCTATGTTGCAAATAAACAGCAGAGAAAGAGAGGGGATGAGGAGGGAAAGACCATTTTTCCCGCCCCCCATTTTATTAGAGCAGTGGTGAGCAAAAGGGCCTCCACGGGTTGGATCAGGCCCACCAAGCAGGTTGATCTGGCCCACAGAGGTCCTGCTGCTCCCCCACCCCCAGGTCATTCAGGGCCTAGGGACAGGGGAGCACTCAGCACTTAGTCAGCCCTGGCAGTTGACTCTTAAGTGCCCTGCACTGGAGGGCAGGGAGTGAGAGACTTCATGCTCCCCCTGCCTGCAGGCCCTGATTGACCAGGGGACACTGGGGGGGGAGGTGGGGGAAATGCACAAAGTTTCCTCTCACTGCCAGGGGCACAGGCGCCTGAAGGGACCTGACAACTATTCAGAACCGCTGGCTGTTCTCTCTAGGGGGTGCAGGGGCAAAGACTTCACATGCTCCCCCACTCACAGACCAATCAGGGGTGGTCCTGGACCACTTCAAAAATGTATGAAGTACCCCTCAGTCAAAAATTATTGCCCACCCCTGAATTAGAGTGTCCAAGCTAAATGAAGCTGATAGAGTAGATTCTAAGTATTCTTAAGTACCCAGTGCTTGGCTTTTTATGTCATTAGGATGTGAAATTTAGCGGGTAACTGGATGACTGGCTACATTCTATATCCTAATGACATAAAAAAACAAGCACCAGGTACTTAAGAGTACTTAAGAACCCTCTCGATCAACTTCATTTTCCCTTCTCTTTCCCGCCCCATCCCCTCTCTTTCTCTGCTACTTATTTGCAACCTGGACTCCTTAACTCCATTCATCTGAAGAGTTGTGCCTCCGAAAGCTCATGATACCATCAACATTTTTATTTTGTTAGTCTCTAAGGTGCTGCAGGGACTATTCATTGTTTCTGAAGGTTTGGTTTTGTTTTGTTTTACATTGGGAAGCAGTTCATCAAAATATTCATGTAGGAAACACAATGCCAGGAGCAGGTCAAGGTATACCAATAAGCAGGGCTTGACAAACAGCAGCAAAACCTACTCCCAAGCCCCTCACTGTGCATGCGCAAGACCCGCATTGCGCATGCGCGCACCGCTGGTGAACGGGGAGACCGGCTGAAATCTACTCGCCACAGGTGAGTAGATTCAGTGATTTGTCAAGCCCTGCTAATAAGTTATTAAAGAACACAGCTTGATTTGTCACAGTGAGAGCACAATTCTTGACATGGATACTCACATTAAGAGCTTCAGCAGTCATTGTCAGTGCATGATTGGGTAGCATTGACTTGTCCTCTCTCCAGCCAACATAGAATCATAAAACCCTAGAACTGGAAGGGATCTCGAGATCATCAAATCCAGTCCCCTGAATTCACAGCAGGACTGAATACCATCTAGATCAGGAACGAGCAAAGGATCCCACCCTCCAAGCATTTTTCTCCAGCCTGCCTAGCTGGTTAGCAGAGCATGCATACTTACAGATAGCCGGCAGCGTGTCTTCAGCTGCCTCCCCCTCCCCTCTTGCTCTGTCCTGCATCCAAGCTGCTCCCAGGATTCTCCTGCTAGCTGTGCAAACAGGTGTGGAATGGAAGGCAGAAGGGAGTACCTCATCTCTGCAGCGCAGGGTTCAGGAGAGGAAAACACACGGGGGGAGGTAGAAGGAACTGCTCCATGAAACTGAAACATGGATGGTGACTGAGCCATCCCAACCTGGAATCTCAAGTGGTGTGCTGCTTACCAGGAGCTCGCATTCAGGATGTCACTGAGAGGCTTACCAAGCTGATCAAACCTTCGGATGGCTACCCCTTCCTGCTTCTCCACGTGGGAACTAATGATACGACCAAGAATGACCTTGAGCGTGTTACTGCGGATTATGTAGCGCTGGGAAGAAGGATCCAAGAATTTGGAGCGCAAGTGGTATTCTCGTCCGTCCTCCCTGTTGAAGGGAAAGGACTGGGCAGGGATCGTCGAATTGAGGATGTAAATACGTGGTTGCACAGATGGTGTCGCAGACAGGGCTTTGGTTTCTTCGACCATGGGACTCTGTTCCGAGCACAAGGATTGTTAGGAAGAGATGGGATCCACCTAACGAAGAGAGGAAGGAGCATCTTCGCGGGCAGGCTTGCAAACCTAGTGAGGAGGGCTTTAAACCAGGTTCGTCGGGGGACGGTGACCAAAACCCTGAGGGGAGTGGGAAAGTCGGATACCGGGAAGAAATGCAGAGAGGAAGGGGCAAGAAAGGAAGACCCATGTTTCGAATGGAGAAGATAGGACAATCAACTGGTTACCTGAAGTGTTTGTACACTAATGCGAGAAGCCTGGGCAACAAAGAGGAAGAACTGGAGGCCCTTGCCCAGACCAA